GGAGACATATGCATAAAAGAAATGCAGCCATGATATTCGACTTCTGACGTCATCCTGAATAGAATTAATGGTGAATGTAGTCACTAGAAGAGTTTGTTGTGTCGTGTAACACACTGTGCAAGTCGCATTTTTCGACCACAGCGACGTCAGTCGAGTGATATTGCTTAACATGTCAGTTCGATTTGTAGGCAACATTGCTTCAATGTATACTCCTTCCTTTCAATCAAATATCCACCGTCCTTATTCGGCACTTATATGATCCTATTGTGTTGCAAGTGCCGAACAACCTTTACTAAAACTAAAACTAAAACGTGTTTAGTTTAGTTTTAGTAAGTGTTTTACGACACTTGCAACACTATAAGGTCATACATGAGTGTCGAAGATTAGACGTGTTACAAGAGAATATAGTAACAAACATAAAAAAGAAGGAGGGGAGATAAAGACGATAGATGTTTGATAGGACAGAAGAAGCAAACCACACCAGAGCACCCGCCAACCATCCACACTAAAATGTGTGTCAAACGTTCTTTTTAAGGTGCGATATGGCCATTAAGATTATAAGCCAGTCAGAAGGAATGGGCAGTAGTAACAGGTTCAGTAACATGCCACGAAACGAGGAACGCCCGCCTTACGCGATCAATTAGTCAACGATTTGGATGATGACAGTTTGATGAATAAATCATCGTCCCCGTTTCGACGTGTGGATATAGCAGAATTCACGGGGTCGTTGAGTGAACGTTTGAGCTCGATGCTGCGCGGCTTGGCGGAAGAGGACCGAAGACATTAGCAGATTATGAATAAATGATTCGATTAGCGGAATGAAATTCATTTCATTACGAATATTATTGCAAACGGTTTTCGTTTTGTTTTTTCTTTTTTTTCTTTTTTTTTCTTATTGTTGGGTTTGTTGGGTTGTTGTTTTTTGTTGCTGTTGTTTTTACCTCACGTTGTTCCATGATTGAAGCCTTGTGGGTTTTAATTTTATGAAGAATTAATTTTTGTTTTTTTGTGTGTGTGGTTTTTTTTTCATCACGTGGGCTTTTTTTCTCTGTGTGTGTGTGTGTGTGT